ATAAATACACCAGAAGCAGTCTGGAAGTTTCCTATTTACGTGGGAAAGCTACCCCCAAAATTTGCGATCTTCTAAAAATAAAGTATTTAAACGTATCCTGTTTTCTTTAGCTATTTCAAGTAACACAGATTGAGTCCTGACCATGTGTACAGAATTGCATCAGGTCTATGGATAAGAAGTATTAAATGTGGTCCCTACACTCAAAGAGTATTGGGGGTGCAAGACATACAGAAATAAACCCATGCATTACATACTGCCTTTACTCCTCTGGGCCAGAAATTCTATTTAGACAACACCTCTAGCTGCCTTTAAAACCTTGAAAATACAGAATAATACATGTAACATACTGTAAGCTATGTAATAAAATGAGTGCCCATGGGATGAAACGTTAACAACAGTTGAATCTGGGCAAAGGACATATAGGTGTTCCTTGTACTTTTTTGTATTGTTTGTATTTTTGCGACTTTTCTGTAAATCTAAAATTTTTCCAAAATAAAGTTTACTTAAAAAAAGAAAAACTCTTCAAGATGTAAGTGAAAAAGGCAACGTGCAATGGTTATTGTTACGAAGGCACAACATGTAACTGGCATCCCAGAAAAATCCAGGGCGGACATTATTTCTTCAGCCTGTACTTTCTACCGCAATGTCTGTAAGAAACTGCTCACCTGTTTTACCCAGGCCCCGCACTCAAGGTTAACTTAAAAACAGCCAACAAAAGAAATTATTACTAGGAAAAGAATTCTGTGTAAACAGCCCATAACCAATAACATGGTCAGCTGGTGGAAATGTTTAAAGCAAAGATTAGACTAGTGACAATATTCACGAATAGAGATTGCAATTTTTTTAAAACCCAATAATAAATGAGCAATGAGATACTTTAGGCATTTAAGAAAAAAATCTGACTATTGACTCTACTTCTAAATAGACAATCAGAAGCTGACAATCAGAGAACTGGAAGAAAACATAAAATAACAGTTCCCGGCCCGGCCGGCAGGGAGCACAGGGCTAATCTCCGAGCAAACAAATGGGCCGTTTACTGCTGGGGGCGGATTCCAGGCTGCGCACAGGAGTGAGGGGTCCCGGGGTCTGGCTGAGTGGAGGAGACAGAGGCTCTGGAAGCTGCGGTGGCTGTAATTCTCAGGCAGAGTACCAGAGGTGTAATTAATAAATCAACAATGGAGAGAAATGAAACCAAAAAATCTTAATTCAAAAGAAAGAAGGAAAAGAGGGAGAAAAAGGAATAAAGACTAGATGAGAAAAATAATACTAAGATGGTAGATGTAAATCCAACCAAATTTAGAATTACATCAAATATAAATGGCCTGAACACTTTAATTAAAAGGCAGAGATCATAAGACTGGTTAAAAAATATCAAGACTTAACTACATATTATCTACCAAATACCCATTTTAAATATAAAGACCTAGGTTAAATACAAAAGATTGGAAAAAGCTATCTATAATAATAAAAGCGTAATATGCAAATCGACCGAACAGCAAAACAACCATCTGGATGACCACGCTATGACACGCACTGGCGCCAGGCCAGCCAAGGCGGGTGCAATGCGATTGAAAAATCGCCATGATCGCCCCTCAGAGGGAGGCCCAGGCCACCGGCCAGCGGGGCAATTAATCGGGGGGCTCCGAGATTGCCCCGCAGAGGGAGGCCCAGGCCATCCTCTGCAGAGCGATCGATGCTGGGGGAGGGGGAGGCGGGGCGGTGAGGGGGGGCGGGGGGGGGTGCCCCCACAAATTGATTGGCTGCAGAGGGGGGCCCAGGAGATCGATGGGGGGGGGGGGGCCTCCGTGATTGCCCCAAAGAGGGGCAATAAACAGTTTAGATTAGGTCCGCTACTGAGAACACAGTATTTCAGGCTGAAACCCTGAGTCATCACCAGAAATACATGGGGCTACAGCAGCTGCAGGCACTCCTGACCACACTGCCCGCGGAAGGCAGTGCCCAGCCTCACTGAGCTCCTGGCAAGGCCCCTGAGAAGCGCGCGCCGTGCAGGTAGCACAGCACAGCCTCTGGACTCCGCTCCCCGCCTGTCAGGTTGCAGTCATTAACATTTGGCCACAGTGGGACCCATTACTATTGGAAAGGGTACAGAGAACACATTTTTAGAATCACTAATTTTATAGACTGAAACTTGAGTGTCCAGGAGAGTATATATCGAGTGAAACCAAATGTCTTCATCCAAAATGCAATTACTGGTCAGGTACCAATCCCAAGCATGTAACCCGAGTCCAGGAAGCACTATCCTTTGCAAGAAGCTGAATTATGGGAATCAAAATCATGAGCTCCCATAACGAGAAGGAAGTCACATCCTTAGGCTCCCTGGGACCTGCTTGAGGAAATTTAGAAATGGGCGCAAAAGTTTAATTTTCTTTTAATAGACGTTTAAAATGAAACTCTGCTTCCAGAAATGATACATTTTTCTCCTCCAAGCAGCCTGGTTAGCCCCTGTATCCCCACCTTAGAGAAAAAGCTTTTCCAGCCGAGATATGCCTGCATTTTGAATCTATTATCGCAAATAATCCTCATTAGCACCCTGATGAAGCAGAGGTCTATTTATTCCCAACTCACATTTCTTGTTAGGACAGTTTCTTTATTGGAAAAATAAGAAAAGTAAACTAAATACTCTCTACATTTCTCCCAGCCTTCATACTCCATGACTGTACTAAAAGTTCTGGGGTCTATCCTGAGAAGCTTAACATTGTTAAAGACAACTAAGTAATAATTTTAGGCACCAGAAAAGAGTACAAATCACCTCAACCAAGCAAAAATTATCAACGTACTCAACTGAATGGTGAATGGCTCTGAGAAATCAGGTTAAACCCCAGGCAATTAGGATGTAAGATAAAGAATATACTAGGAATTTAGAGGAGAGAGAAAAGGGGAGAGGGACGAGGAGGGGGAGGGAGCCAGAGGAAAGACAGAATTTTTTATTAACCAAAACTAAGCTGGTAATTAACACAGAAATGATAACTCGGTTCCATTGGTTCCTCTAGGAAAGTGGAATAAATGTACAGACACACACCTGGAGTCGCTGAACCAGGCGTCTTTTCCTCTGAGCAGAGCATTAAACAGGGCTCAGATGGCTGGCCATGAACAATTTCTGGCAGCTAAGTTTAAAATGACTAATCAGTGAGTTATACAGACTTTAAAACCAATTCTCCTAAGAAAAGCTTCAATGCGACAGTTTCAGGGCAGCATCAGCAGCGCCCAGACTTCGGTGGCCTTGAGCACGGAAGCCATTAGAAAAGATGAAAACCCAATTGACCTTGAGTCCGGCTAGTTCCGAAGCTCAGGGCTGGTGCTACACTCTTCCCAGACGTGAGGCCTCCTGAGGGTCAGGTGCACCTTATACCCCGGCCTTCCTCCCCGACTCCAGCCACGCTCCACCACGTCGCTGACAAGCAGCTGGGGCCTGGAGTGCCGCCTGCAAGAGCAGACGGGTCCTCTGTCCCCAGTCCTTCAAGTCAGAGATGCAGGTACGCGTCCCTCCGTCCCCACTAACCAGCCCCCTCCGGCTGGCTCCTCCGCCCCCGCTCTCTGTCCTGGCTGCCGTCGCTGCCACAGGCCCACCTCTTGGTTTCAGTAACCAGTTTGGAGCCCCCTTTCGGCCCCAACAGCCTCCTCCCACTCCTGCCCGCTGCTCCCTGCTCCCTGCTCCCAGTCTCACTGCTTGGTACGGTCCCTCATTGTTGTCTCCTTCCACACTAGGGCTGCCTGAGCCATGCCCGACTACGTTCAGAGGGAGAACACCAGGCAAGCACCTAGGATCTCTGTCTGTGTCTGTAACACAGGGGTGACAATACTACTACATACTTCAGAGGGTTGGTATGAATAACAAATGAGCTCACAAAGCCTTTGAAACAGGGCCTGGTACATAACAAGCACTCCCACTACTGATGTATCTTTTGTTTTTCCAGGTCAAGAGGGGCTGCAGCTGTACCCTCCTTCCTCGCGCTTCCCACGGGTGGGCCAGGGCGAGCCCTGGGCACTGCCGTCTCTCTCCTGGGTCGAAGGGAATAGGACCATCCCTGGGAGCCCACCTCCAACCCAGTGCTGCGGCCCGTCACGGGAGCTGCTTCGCTCACGTTGTCCTGAGGGTAGAGCCACCTGGTTTACAAATCTAACGTTCTCTACATCACAAATTTAGAGAACAAATCTAATGTTCTCTAAATCATTCACAGCGACCAATATTCTAGTCCGATGCAGAATCTGCTAGTGTTTAACAACCTCAGGTGTAAAATGTTACGGCATCTTGCAACCTTCTGTATGGTGTCTCCATTTCCTGCTGGCTCAGTGCTTCAACAGCACGTGCCACGGTTATATTTTCACAGCATCTACGTGAGGGTTCTGGAGAACTCGCGTGAGGAGGAGGCAGAACAGCAGGCCACGGAGCAAAAGATGATGCGATGAGCATAAGGCCTGAGTACAGAAGTTCCCAGTCTGGGACCACCAACCGCATGACCCGGGCAAAACACTCCAGCTTCCTGACGTGTCTGCTCGTACGTAAACGGGTCAAGTGAAATAATTACCAGACCAGGTTTCTAAGGGTCACAAATGTCTTTCAAGTTAAACTGCAAACACGGACGGTGGTGAAGATCAGGAAGGCCTATTAGTGGGCAAATGGAAGACACTGCTGAATTTTAATAATATTTAGTAAACGGAAAGCCTTCTGACGATGGAAAAGGGAAGATAACCTTTGAGGAGTATAAACAGTGATAGACTCATCATTAAAGGACAGAAGCCCTTCCACAGAGGACATCGGAGAACAGACCCAGGACTCATGCGAGCAAAGGACTTACAATCCTGCCTCTTGAAACAAGATAATAACTTTCTCCAAAGCAACATAGTTTACAAATAACAACAAAAAACACCTGTTAGGAAATTTGAAATTACTTAATGGTTTCTATGTTGAACTTTTAAAGTTGTATACTATTCTTGTGTCTTATTCGTGATCACAAAGTTAAAAAAAGAAAATAACTTACCTCTATAGCAAAGATTCCTTTGTCACGCCCATACAATTTCATCTCTTCTGGAAAACGCTCAAAAGCATTTACATAAGGAATATGGCCCTCTTCAACAAATCTGTTTTTAAAAAGAAAGAGTTTCAATAAGAGGTATGTACTGATTTAGCAAAGTAGTCAAGAGAGTTGAAAATGCTGTGTTTCAAAGACAAGGTCCCAGGAAACACTGTCTCTATTTATGATTTTATTACATTTTTCAAAAGTCTCCATTGGTGCCAGACTGGAAATTTAACAAACGGGCTCTTCATCGCAGATGATGTGAGAGGCACTGCATTAGAGCTGAGCACACCGACTTGCAAAACCTCTCCTGCACCCACTCGCCTGGTTCCACTTCTATCCCCACCGCCCAGGCCCAGCCCCACTCCTTCCTGAAGCGTAGCCATGTCCACGGCCCCCCGCCCCACTGTGCCTTCCTGGGGCCCGTCTTCCCGCTGCCCGAGTGACCGGGTCTGCCTCTCCTGCCCATCTCCCAGGGCCTCACTGTCTCACTCCTACTGAGCACGCGTGTCCTTTGCTGTGGAAACAGACAGAGATGGCTGCACAGCCTTGTAAATGCGCCGAAAACCACTGACGGGCATTGAAAAGGGTGAGTTTTACTGTATATGAATTATATCTCAATTAAAAGCATCCAACCCCCTAACTAGGCTAACGAAGACCTGTATCTGACCTCTGCTTATTAGGCCCCTGGCCCCACCCTCCGACTCCTTCAGATTCGCTCACTCCGTCCACTTCCCTCCTCCTCGACCACACGGAGCTCTAGGGCTGGGCACTGACCTCCCTCTGCCCGAGCCGAGCGCCAGTGCATCGAGAGCTGCCTCCCCTCCGGCTTTATTTCACTGAAAGTGCAGCGTAAGCCCACCTTCACAGTGAGGCCCCCTATCGACCAGTCCCGGCAGCCAGCTAGTCACTGTCACGTCACCAGCTTCCGTCTCCTGTAAGCCCTTCGCTCGGGATCAGCTTTTACACAGTTAGGTCCTTGCTCATCTGCTCCCGCCTCGAGCCTGGACTTGGTGAGAGCAGGGACTCCATCTACATGGCATCTCAAGAGTAACCCCTGCATGTAATCAATATTCAATGAGCATCTGTGGACTGAACAGTGTTGGCTATCTTCACTTATTCCTGTCGTTGCTGGGCAGGCAGGTCCTCTGAAGGCTCCTGGAAGGGTGATGAGCTCATCCCGAGGACCCCGGGCGCCGCTCAGGACTTAACGGGAGTGACGCGTAGGGTCAGTGAGATGCAGGGGCTGCAGCCAGGCTCGCCATGGCTCTCTTCAGATCAGTGCCCTTTAGCTGTCTGTTCACAGTCTGGCAGGAGCTCTCAGTTTAGCATCTACAGGAGTCTCTTGGGGACTTAGGAAAGCAGAGCTCACAGGCCCACCCGGGCGGCTGGGTCAGAAGGTAAGAATGGGCCCAAGGCCCTGCGTCTCTCACAGGTGCCAGGGGACACACTTTGAGAACCTGAGGAAAGCAGAGAAAGGGACAAGCTCTTCTCCTGTTATTCCCAGCAGCTGAGCTCGGTCCCCAGATCTGTATGTGCCCAGAGCAGAGAGGCCTCCAGCCAGCGGACCCACCTCCTCGTGGGCCTGCCATTCCCCGGGAGGAGAAAGGGAGAGGAAGGAGGAAGGGAGAGGGAGGAGGGAGGGAGAGGGAGGAGGAAAGGGAGAGGGAGGAGGAAGGGAGAGGAAGGAGGAAGGGAGAGGGAGGAGGGAGAGAGAGGGAGGATGAAGGGAGAGGGAGGAGGAAGGGAGAGGGAGGAGGAAAGGGAGAGGGAGGAGGAAGGGAGAGGGAGGAGGAAGGGAGAGGGAGGAGGAAAGGGAGAGGGAAGAGGAAGGGAGAGGGAAGAGGAAGGAAGAGGGAAGAGGAAGGAAGAGGGAAGAGGAAGGAAGAGGGAAGAGGAAGGAAGAGGGAAGAGGAAGGAAGAGGGAAGAGGAAGGAAGAGGGAAGAGGAAGGAAGAGGGAAGAGGGAGGGAGGAGGAGGAGGAAAGGGAGAGGGAAGAGGAAGGGAGAGGAAGGAGGAAAGGGAGCTGGGGAGAGAGAAAGAGACGAAGGTGCAGGATTTCACCCTCGATCTTCCAACCACATATAACCTTCCCCGAGAAGAACTTCAGGTAGTTAGAGTTCTAGGCGGGTTCTGCTATAGCCTCTCCAGCCGCCCTGGGAGGGTGGGGAGTCTGTGCCGGCATCCACAGGTGATGAGACTGCTGTTCCCGAAGGTCCTTCTGGTTAGGGAGGACACGGGGAGAAGGCACAAGACTGCAGCCACAGGGCTCATCTGGGAGGTTGCTAAGCAACCCAGGTAAAGACAGACAGGAAATGGGGAGAAAGGAAAGTGGTTTCGAGAGTTACTTTGCAAGTTTGGCTGACGGGATGTGTGTGCCTAGAGAGGGAAGAGTCAAGGCCGATTCCTAGGCTGCTGGATCGGATGCCAGAGGCGTGGCGTTTAGAAGACGGAAAACGCTGGATGGAGAGGAGCTGGGCCGAGGGGAAAGACGAGGAGCCTCATTGGGTCATGCTGATCTTGAGATACCATGAAGACAGCCCAGGAGTGGCCGTCCGCGGCCTCCTGTGTGATACATACGGGCCCGGCCCTCAGTAAACAAGTCTGGGCTGGAGATATAGACTCGGGCGTCATCACCACAGAGGCGGTAATTAGGGCCCTGGGAGAAGATGAGGTCACCCCAGGGGGCAGACAGAGCAAGACGGGGTTTCAACTTCACAGTGAAGTCCCTGAGTCATGGGCGATCTGCACGCGGTGAATCACCTGAGAAAAGCCTTGTTATCTGGTTGCTGTGGCCGAATTCAAAGGTACCAGCATCATTCATTGGAGGCGTTTTATTTAATCAAAGGGCCTAGTGCCAACAATGATGGTGGCGGCAAAGAAGAAGGAGGAGGAGAGGAGGAGGAGAGAAAAGGAAGGTGACAAAGCCACGATAGCAGCACTGCTCTCCTGTGTCCGGCCTGGCCTAAGTGCTCTGCGTGTGCGAAGTACTGACGCAGCTGCAACCCTAACCCTACGAGGTAAATAGTGTTATTCCTGCTTTACAACAAGAAGACAGAGGCAGAGAAAAGTTAAAATGAAATTTACTCAAGGCACATAACATAGAGCAGCAGAACCCAGGAGTGTGGTCTAAATCCATGCTTTTACCCGACTCCACACGCCGACTACACCCACACGTTATTAGAACACACGAGCAAGGGGAGCAGGGACACACTGATGACTGGGGCCCGTCTTGGCTGTGATGAGAAATCCTCAGCACATGCCCTAATTTACTCGTTAGCCAGAAAGCCCTGCAGATTATCTTGGAAAATGTAAATGCCAGCTATCTGCATAACAGGTTCTTCCAACAGTTGTGTTTCAATTTCACATATAAAGGCAGGCAGCCTATGTTTAGCTCTTGTGTAACTCCATTAATAACCATTTGCCAATGCAAAGTCATCTGTTCATCTTCTTCCTTAGAAACAACAACACTAATACTACCACTTGAATGTCACTTTTCTTCTTCAAAGCGGTTTACTCACAGTAGATAACTAACTCCCAACGCCCACGCCAGGCAGGTACTATTATTTCCACTTTATGAATAAGGAAGCCAGGAAGGGGGAGTTACTAGCCCAGGGAGGATTGAGTTACAGAACTGGAACCCAGTACCCCAGTCTTTCCAGTCCCTTCCTCAATGCAAACCTCGTAAGTCACACTGTCCACGCTGTCCCTGGTCTGCACAGATGACCACACGCCCCGAGGCCGCTTACCGCAGGAGGTCGGAGAGGGCGAGCGCCTCCCGCTGCCACAGCAACGACAGGCCGCAGAGAGCGAGGGTCGCGGGCATGGTCATCTTCACGAGCCCCTTCTCCTTGCGCAGAGAGTACTCGACTCCATCAAGAGACCCGGAGCAGATGGAGGCCATTTCTTAGGGGACAAAAGGAGAAAAATAGTAAAATCCAAAGAGGCATTTAAATCTGTGGTTCTCAAAGCATCGTCCTTGGACCAGCTGTACTGGGGCCGCCTGAGCCCCGAGGAGCTGCACCAACCTGTCCAACAAGCCTGCAGGGGCCTGAGGATGCCAACGATGGAGGATGACTCCTTTACAAGACACACGAGGCCACAGATCCCATAAAATACGTAAGACACTATGATCTGCACATGTGGCGGCTCCCCGGAGCTTCCCGTTAAGATGGCAGGTTGAAAACCTGCTGTTTAGCGTCTGCTCTGTCTCACTAAACAATGATAAAGGCCATTTTAAAACGGTAACCCCAGAACAGATAAGGTGGAAAGGAGAGAGGAGCAGCACAGTTTGGAAGCTGGAAAGCATTGGACAGGCGATTGCGCCTTAGCGGTCCTGGACAGCTGGACTCGAAGCCATGGCGGTGACTTTGCCCGGGGCCTCTGAAGAGGGCGAGGGAGTGGTTCAACCAGGGCCCCCTGGCAACAGCGACGGTCGGGCTGACCCCAGGACTGCTGGAGTCTGATCAGCTTCACACCCAGCGCCACAGCCACGGGACTGCCCGCCCCAATCTTGGCCGGACATTGGAAGTTTCTCCTCTGGGACAGGGACCCTCAGTCACACTCACAGCTGAGCCGGGCATCTTATGAAAACGGGGGAAGTGAAAGGTCACGTATGGAGTCCTGAGACCCCCCTCTCCCGGGCCCTCTTCTTCCCGCCGCTTTCCAGAACAGCCAGGATGACACCCTCCGACCAGGAGACGCACAGAGCGTGCTCTGGAAAATCCGATCGGCTCCGGGGGCGGGTTCCAGGTGGGAATCCTGGATCCGCTAAGGGAAGGACCAGTAGCTCAGCCTCTCCCCCGGAGCCCAGGCCAGACTCCCCGGGTACAATCGTGGAATTAAATCGGAAAATGAGGTACACACACATGTACCACGGGCTCATTCCGCCTGCTTTGGTCTGTGCTTAGAAACGGGGCATGTCCTCTTTGACTCCTGTCTACCCGATGACCAGGGGCTAAGTTCTCTCACGCTCTGCAGCGGCTTTTCTGGGGAAACCCTGGGCCCCCACACATGTACGATCTTTACTGAGTTGGCCTCCGTCTTTCTAGACCCACTTCCTGTTTGGCTCCCTTCCGACACCACACAGCAGTGTTCCTGTGGGGACAGTGTCCTCCATAAAATGACACTGAGACTTCACTCCTGTGCCTTTTGCTCAGCGTGGCGTTCTGCTGGGCCAACCACCTTCCTGGAGCGAGGAGACTGGACTGCGTTCCTTCCAGACGCCACCAGCTCCCGCCTCCCGCCCTGGGCAGCGAGGCTCCGTTACCTGAGTGGGATGCTCTGCTGGGGGGGGAAGGCTTCCGGGGGCCGTCACTTTCAACAAAAGGGCCGCTGGCGTCACTCAGCAGCGCAGGCTCGCTCTCCCAGTCCGAGTGACTCGGACTGCCCAGGACCTATCGCAAAACAACATGAAGTTACTGCACAGGAATTTTAAATTAAATGGCAATAATTCCCATGAACTTAACTCCTGACCATCATAAACCTCACCTCTGCGTCTCCCGGGTGTCCCTGTCCCAGGCTCTGCCTGTGACTTACCGCGGCTTTCCTCTTTCTGGCATGAACAGGGTTTTCGCAATACGCCTGCTTGCTCTTCTGCAGGTAGCGCTTCCAAAAATTATGTAGAACTTGATTCTGAGGCGAAAGGGAAAGGAGTGGGGATCTGTGGTCTGGTGACAAGTACCCAGCACATCTCACCCACAGCCTCTCTGTGCTGCCTGGACGGCGCCCTCTCCTGTGCGGCTCTACTTCCCTCACCAGCAGCCGGACCGAACGCACTGACTGCGGGCAGGCGCCCTGAGTTTCTAGTTCCTGTAGTGACCTCTGCCAGCACAGGCCAGTGCCTCTTCGCCACACCCGGTCTAGAGTCACCTGTGCGGCTGCCCCACCAGCAAAGCCCCCTCTACATCTCTCCTTGGTGATTTGGTCCACCCTGTCCTCCTCCCTTCTCGTTCTGCCCTTCGTGTCACTTGTGAGCACCCGGGATCTGACTGTTCACGCACTCCCCTCTCTCCAGCTAGGCTTCCAGTGATGGGCATGAAGCAGGTGGACAGTAACCACAGTGCTCAATAACTGGCTTTTACAGAATTTCTGAAAAGGCTTCAACTAGATGGGGAAATACGAAATTCAAATAATAGAAAAGTCCCTCTTGAGAGGCAGCAAAGTCAAAGGATGGTCCCTGGACCAGCCCTATCAGGTCACGTGGGAACTTGCTAGAAGGCCAATCCTTGGGCCACTCCACACCTCCTGCCCCAGCAGCTCTGGACGGGTCAGCAGGCTGTGCTTTCACAGGCCCTCCAGGCTCCTGACACAAACCCACGTGGAGAACCACTGGCTGATGCCTCGCTCCCCAGGGAGCATCTGGAACTCAAATCCTGCTGGAGGCCACCTACCTGGCTTCTGTCTCAAACCCTGAGCACGGCCCACACCATCCCCAGGCCCCGGGGGAACGGAACCAGCACACCGCCACATGAAAGGCGGCCAGAAGCTTGCAAAGTTACTTGTTTTACATCGCTCAGGGGTCCTCAAACTACGGCCCGCGGGTCACATGCAAATACAAATACTGTATTTGTTCCCGTTTTGTTTTTTTACTTCAAAATAAGATATGTGCAGTGTGCATAGGAATTTGTTCATAGTTTTTTTTTAAACTATAGTCTGGCCCTCCAACGGTCTGAGGGACAGTGAACTGGCCCCCTGTTTAAAAAGTTTGAGGACCCCTGGTTTAAGTCAATGTTTCCTAAATACATGATGAGTAAACCCTTTTGTTTGCTTTTAGATGTATTGCTTCTTCACATCCTGGAGAATGTAGTATGGGAATTGCTGGTCTAATAAAAAGACTAAAGTAAAAACATCAGAAGCAAGATTCTCCCGCAGCCCTCCTGTTATTACTGGTCAGTTTCACTCTAAATCTTACTGTTCTTCGAACAAGACGGAGAGCTAACATCTAGGCACACATGGACTCACCTTTAACTCTGGGCCGACCCCCAGGGCCTTCAAGGCCTCTGCTTGCTGATACAGGACGCGCTGAAAGCCTTCGCACACGTACCAGTCCCAGCCTTTCTCTGAAAGACAGACAACATGTCTCAGACACCGCACTCCTGACTGACCACTGTGCGCGGCCACAGGTGTCCCTCACGTCCTCCCCGCGCCTGCCCGGGCACGGCTGTTTCACACAGGGCAACTGTAGTGTTTTGTATCCCTGAATAGGGTTTCCATTCTTACAGTCTAATTTCCAACATGGCAGATTTGTACCCAAATGCTAATGCTAAACATTATTTTTATAATTGATGAGATTTTATATTTCACATTATCCATAATTTTTCTGAAACATTAATGTAATAGGTAGAAAAATGGTAGTCACCACGTTAAACAGATGAAATAAGTTTTAAGAAGCATACTGTGTGAACGATGCCCACTAAACCCTGCCTGGGGACACGCAGCGCTCCGCCCCTGGGCTTCCACTGCTCTGTCCCCAGCACCCGAAAGGCAGCCGTGAGCATGTGGGGAATCGATGCACAGAAGCCAGGACGAGAGGGTCCGGGCTCCAGGAGAGGCAGTGCCGTCACTCCACACAGTGCGCGTGGCATCTGCTTCTCTGAGCACGGATCCAGGTTCTCGGGAGAAACTGCAAGCGAAGAAACCCCCTGTATGGAGCTCTGCCAGGTGCCGGGCGTGCCGGGTGCTGTAGTAGGTTCTCTCCTTCAGTCCTCAAACCGCCCTGAGACGGTGAGGAAACCTGCCACATGGCCGACAAGAGCTACGCGTTTAAACAGAACCACCGGCTAAGGCCCTGAGGTTTCACCCTCCCTGCTGGACAAACACTGTCCTTTCCGGGGGTGGGTTAGCAGCTTCTCACACAGAGCTTCTGGAGTCGGTGACCATGACTCCAAGGTCCCTCCCCTTGTGGCTGTCACCGGACTGCCGCTCTCCTCACCTCAGTGTCTCCAGGCCCTGACCCAACCTCTGGAGAGGGTCTCGGGTTGTACCCGAGTGAGATGGAAAGCCTGTCTCCGCTGCCCCAACTGCAGGGAGGGAGGGGGAGCTCTTCAACCGGGCCCCGTGCGCTCCTCCTCCTGCGCACTGCTCTCACCGCCACACCCTGCGTCTGGGCTCCTGGTCCACGTAACAGGCGGTACCACCTCCATGTTACAGAGGAAGGAACGGAGGTCAAAGAGGCTGAATCTACGACACCTGGCATCTCCCTGAAGCACCGAGTTCCTGCAGCTACTTAACACTGCGCACCGGTGGTTTTACTGCTAGCTTTACCCAGTGGCCAGGTAAGTTCTACTGAACGAGGACAAAAAACATTTACAAAGTATCACACTTTAAAAAGATATTAGCTTATAAGAACATGTAATAAATAGCTTCAAGATGCAATGGGTATTTAACTGTAAGGCGCGCCTTTAACGTTTATGTAAAACACTGTGTAATACGAAAACACAAGAATGCTCGTGATCCGTCCGCAATGTGTTACGTTTAACTATACATTTTAACTATTTACATAGGTCAAATCCAAATTAATCAGGCTTACCCTAATAAAATTTAAAATTAATCAGGTTTCAGCCTAATAACAACAGTCACTATTAAAGGTTAATCAGGAATAAAAGTTGGCATTTAGGCATTCTCTCTGTCGTTCACACAGAGTTCATTCACATTTTTACATATTTATTTCAAGTGTGTGTGCCCTTGGAGCCCCTCATGTGGAAGGAGCCGTCATTAGCCTGGTTTCAAACCTGAGAATCTGGTCCTATCAGTGATGGCGAACCTTCTGAGCTCGGCGTGTCAGCATTTTGAAAAGCCCTAACTTAACTCTGGTGCCGTGTCACATATAGAAATTTTTTGATCTTTGCAACCATAGTAAAACAAAGACTTATATTTTTGATATTTATTTTATATATTTAAATGCCATTTAACAAAGAAAAATCAACTAAAAAAATGAGTTCGCGTGTCACCTCTGAGACGCGTGTCAAAGGTTCGCCATCACTGTCCTAGATCATCAGTCACAAAATGAAAAGCATCAGGTAGACGCCCTCAGATTCTTCTCAAGAAGGGTAATTACATGTACTCACTGGGTTAATGAAACATACCTTTCAAAGCACACCCATGCTGAGGCTATTTTTTAAAATATGTTTTTATTGATTTCAGAGAGGAGGAAGAGGGAGAGAGATAGAAACATCAATGATGAGAGAGAATCATTGATTGGCTGCCTCCTGCACACCCCCCACTGGGGATCGGGCCTGAAACCCAGGCATATGCCCTGAACGGGAATCAAACCCAGGACCCTTCAGTACTCAGGCCGACGCTCTATCCACTGAGCCAAACCAGCTAGGGCCTGAGGCTATTTTAAGGGAAAATAATCTTCCCTATTTTAAAAGGGTGTGTTCAAAATTCAGTGTGAGAAATGGGTTTCTGAAGTTGAATATCAGGTTTAACCTGCCTAACCTGACAATTCCTGCTGAATCATTTCAGAAAGTAAGCATTTTTCTTTAAAGCGCAAAAAATCACATTCATGAGATGACAAATACAGAACAGAAAAGCATACGCCAACAGATAGAAAGAGATATGCACCTTTTGTCATCATTATTTTTTTGCATAATAGTTGCTCCACTGGAAAAGCAACCTGACAACACAGGGTAAAAAATGACATGCTGGCAGACACCTGCCTCCAATTTCACCATCAATAACCACCCACTTTAATTCCACGTTGGATTACCTGCTTAGAATTCTGGCAACTTCTCTAGAATCTACTTAATATTCCATTCCACATCCCCAAATCATGACGGTGAAAACCATGGCTGAAGAATGCTGGGCACACACGAGGAATGAACTTACCAAGTTTATTTCTCTTTTTAAGCCCGCGGTTGATAGCTTGTATTTTAGTATTAGGAATCGCCTCGCTATTTAAAACGTCCTTAGATCTCTGCAGAAACGGAAACATTATCATTAAAGCCATAGCTTTACATCTCCCACATGTTTCCAAGCTGTTCTGGAAGCACAATGAACCCACCTGTGAGTGCCAGAACCAATGATGTAACACGTGGGGGAAATTATATGAATTGGAACATTCTGAGTAACCTTTTGTTGCTTTCTCATTCAAAATTACTCTCTACCTAAAACAGTGCCTGGAATATAGTAAACACTGAATAAACGTCTGTCAAATGAATCAACTTTTATTTCAAATCACATTTGTGTGTGTGTGCATGAATGCGGGTTAACCTTTTCTTTTCTTTCTTTTTTTTTAATTTATTGGTGAAAGTATTACAGATGACCCCTTTCTCCCCCATGGACCCCTTCCCCAGGCCTTAACCACACTACTGTCTGTGTCCATGGGTTATGCAAAAAGCATATAAGTTCTTTGGTAAAATCACTTTCTAATTGTTTCAAATCAAACCTAAAGTCAAATATATTCATGTTTTCTGCACCAAAAACACTTTGGAGTTAAAATAATTTCTGTATTTATTGTAATCAGCAATGCCTAAGCTACACATTCTACTTTTCTGTATTTGAATAATATTCTAAAACAGCTTTATTTATAAAATTATAAAAATACTACTTTTTGTTTTTTATCCATTTATAGGATTTTGTAATGACTAAATGGTGGGTACAATTCATTCCAAAGTCTTCAATTCCAAGTGCTCTCAGGGGCTGGTACCTAAGATTCTGGCTTGCTCTCTGATTATAGCTCTTTCTCTCTCTCACATATATTAAATCTTTTTAACAATTTTATAAATGCCTTTGATTGCATATATACTTTCCCTAATTGTTACACCAATAATATTTACAAATGAGCCATATTTTACAAATAACACACACAAAAAAAACCCACCCTAGAATTCAGATCTTCTAACACTTGGTCCAGTGTCTGTTCACTTTTTTACTAATACTGAAATAAAGATATAGCCATTACTATATAATTTTAAGAATTTGTAATTTATTCTAAACTCTTTCCATATATATATATATATATATATATATTTGAATTACTTAATACTCTTAACATACTTATAAATAAGGTAAAAATATAGAAACATGATCAAGTATATATTTTTCTTAAATAAAACTCTGACTTCAGTAGTACATGTAGACTGTTATTTTCTTCCACGTAATCAATACTTCATACCTTTGTTTAGTATCTTCAAATAATATGTAGGCACTTACTGCAGACATAATTTTATGTGCAAATAATATGTAGACATTCTACTCATAAATGTGATTTTCCAAAAGCATCAGCTTTTGTGTGTGTATATCCAAAACCATCACCATAATCCAAATAACGAACATACCCCCTAGCCCAACCCTTTCATCAGAGGAGCACTGATCTCTTAAACACTGTGACTGCATGGAAGCCGACATAGGAACTTCGCTGCAGACAGAACAATGATTGTCTCAAGGAAAAGCTCTTGTGTGACTGAGCTGCAAGCTAAACCAACCACTTTTCTCAAGGGAAATTCTTTTTTACTTGTTTCATATATTTTTTCCAGGTTTTTTGTTGTTTAGGGTAGGAAGGTAAACCTGAGTCCTGCTACTCCATCCTGGCCAGGAGCAGAAGTCTACAGTTCCATTTATCTGCCCCCGATGTGCCTTTCTTCCGGGGATGTGGTGGAGGTAGGATCTGCTCCTTCCTGGCTCTGTAGACTCTGAGCAAATCCTTACCCAGGGAGAAGAGCCTAGCATGTTGAGACTGTCCAATAGCAGGCTGTCCACACCCTTGATTATTGGGGTTATGTTGCCCTGAGGTGTGTAACCAGAACAGGGCCCAGCCCTCCCGGGGGGAAGGTGCCTCACTTATCAAGGCCACGCAGGACAGAATGGCAGTCTCTACTGTAAGAGGCAGGTGTGGTGAGTAAAATGAACACTGGAGTCAGAAGACTCAGGTTCAAGTCCTGGCTCAACACTTTATACTTGTGTGACTTTGGCAAACTCAAGTCGTGAGCCCTACCTGCCCTGTCTCTAGAGAGGCACAATAGTACAGCTCACAGGTGGTTATGAGGAGGCAGTTAAGGACCGGGTAAGAAACACTGGGCAATCTGTAAGGCACTGTACAAAGATAAAATAATAACGAAGCACATTTCCAACAGTCCTCCATCTTTCTAACATCCCGTCTTCCAAACCTCTAAGATCCCACCACACATTAAAAACTCTTAACTAATCAAAGAACTACAGTTTTAATTATTTCCCCTTAAGACTACACCAAGCATGTCAAACTCAAAGGCTAACACGGGCCAAATAGGCAAGGCATGCAGCCCGCGGGCCACGAGTTTGACACGCCTGGACTACACAGTCTGAATCGGGAAATCATTTATATGTATGGCCCAACATAATTTCAAAAACTCATCCTAAATCTAACTCACAAATTCCCTCACCCTGCGTAAGCACTGGAAGACTACTACCATTCGTGGAATTAGGGTATTGCAAGCCCGATAAGAATCGATCAATTCTTTGCCACACATGAGGCTGAACCTGCACTGTTTAAAACATAAGCAAGTTCACGGATGAGATCTGTCACTTACTTCTGTAACGTTGTGGCAGGAAGTACAATAGTATTTGCCTTCATCAGTCAGACCCCAAGACACCGCATCGCACTGAGTACAGCGCTCTCTGAACTCTTTCTGCAGGAAAAGAGGAAAGCCACTTTCAGCACACGGGGCCCAAACCCTGCAGGTCTACCCCATAAATACAAAGTCATCAAAGTAGAAAATACGTAAGAGAGGTTCTCTATAAGCAGGGAGAACAGGAGCTCAGGTTCCTGAGCAGTTTGGATGGAATTAAACTAAAGACAAGTTTCTAAAACATGCAATGGGTGAGGGGGGGAATGAAGAAAAGGTGGGAGGGGTGAAATAGGAAAAAGATGAGTGAATACTAGTAAAACTCCTTGAAAATGCTGTGATGAAAAAAAAAAAGATAAGAGTTAAGTATAGAGAAGGCTTAACAAATAGAAATAGCAGACCATTTTTTAAATAGATTTTTTAAATTGATTTTAGAGAGGAAGGGAGACGGAGAGAGAGACAGACACATCAATGATCATCGAGCAGCAACCCGGGCACGTGTCCTGACCAGGAGCCCAACCCCAACCTCCTGGTTCCCAGGTCAGTGCTCAGCCACTGGGCCACACCGGCCGGGCAGGGACCAGATTTTTATTATAGTTGTTTCGGGTTTCGATTTATTCACTCGGCAGTACAAGGAGCATCAACGACCTATGTACTAGGCATGTCAGTGGAGCCAAGCAGACCTGGTCCCTACTCACAGCACATTCAGGCCAAGGGTGTCGGAGTGACCAGGGTCCTTCCCAGGCATTACCCACCCATCACTCAGCAAACATCTGCTGGGCGTCCACCATGGGAAGGCCTTCTGCTCCCAGCGCTTCTCTATGTTCCGAGACTGTCACTGGGCGACTGGTCCCCGATCCTGGAGTTTGACAGGATCACTGACCTCATCACAGGAAGCTTTAATACCATGAGGCTCTGGCATGTGACTAGCGTGTCAGAAACGAACGCCCCATTTATTCCGGCAATGAGTTGGGGAAGTTTTCTTTAACCCCGTATGGATGACGATCGTTCAGTCCCTGGAGCAGTGGTTCTCAACCTTCCTAACGCCGCGACCCTTTAATACAGTTCCTCATGTTGTGGTGACCCCCAACCATAACATTATTTTCGTTGCTACTTTATAACTGTAATTTTGCTACTGTTATGAATCGTCATGTAAATATCTGATATGCAGTATGTATTGTCATTCTTACAAATTGAACATAATGAAAGCATAGTGATTAATCACAAAAACAATATGTAATTATATATGTGTTTTCCGATGGTCTTAGGCGACCCCTGTGAAAGGGTCCTTCGACCCCCAAAGGGGTCGCGACCCACCGGTTGAGAACCTCTGCCCTGGAGGGTCCCCAAACCCGAATTTGGAACCCCTGCACGAGGTGGTGGCGAGGACCCCCAGGGGTCACCTGGGGGCGTTCTGGTTCCCTGCCCGCCCCGCCCCCTCCCGCCCCAACGTCGAAGGGGACTTGCGGGCGGTCCAGAGAGGATGCGCCCCGTGGGCGGACACCCCACCAAGCCCACCGCTCCTCCTCCCCCTGCAGCACACCCACCCCTACAGGCCGTCACCCTCGGTGCCCACACCCTCCTCCGGCTGAAACCCCTGCCTCTTTCCCCAAAACACGCGCGCGCCCGCCGGCCCCATCCCCGACCCCGCGCGCAGCCCCCGCGCCCCGCCCCCCGCGGTCAGAGGCCGCCCCGCAGCCAGACGGCGTCCCCGCGCCCCTTCTCCTCAGCTCCGTCCCCTCCCGCCCGGCTGTGCGGACCCGCCCGGGCCACCACCCGCTCACCGCCTCCTCTCGGTCCATAGCGACGCAGCGGCTGCCGACACCGTCGGGGCCCGTTACCCGGGCAGCGAGCGCAACTTCCGGGAGGGAGCGGCGGGAGCGGCGTTCCGGGCGGAAACCGAGACCCTGACTTTGAGTTCCGGGCGCCTGCGGCCGCGGTGAAACCTCCCTTCGCTCCCTCCCGGGGCGAAGCCGCAAAGCCTGTGTCCCTCTCCCAGACAGCATCCCTGTCCAAGCCCAGGAAACGAAACACACACCAGTAAGAAACCGGCCGCATGCCGAGCGGATGCGATCGCGCCCGGCCGGCCTGGCGGTAATTCGGAGACCCGCGCACTATTGGGGCTGCAGGGAGCTCTGCACGCCACGCTGGCTTCGAATAGCACGGGAGGCGTGGGCTCTGCCGGGAAGAGTGCAGGTTGCTGGGTGAGATCTGGGTTTCTAACCACGGCTTTCCTGCTTCCTGTGCCTCAGTTTCCTCCTCTGTAAAAGCTAGCTGTCACCTGTGAGCCTCACCTACGTAAGTGCTCACGAATTTAGCTTTTATTGCTCCTTCCTTGCGCACGTTCCTTCCCTGCTTATCCATGAAGCAGGCGCTGTTTAGGTCCTGAGGATTCAGCAGTCCACAAAAGTCCCTTCTTGCTTACTCTTCAAGGAGGTTACACTCTGGTAGGGAGACCCAAAAGATGTAAGGAAATATATGGTATAAGTGGTGATGAGTGCCCAGGAGAAAAGCAGGAGCGGAGAGCGGAGAGCGGGAGCTACAGGGCGGTGTCCATTTCTAATGGGTGGTCAAGAAAGGTCTCGCCAAGAAGACGACCTTTGAGGCCAGGAAGGCAGAGCCCTGTTGGGAACATCATTCCAGGCAGAGGGAACAGGAAGTGCGAAGGCCCCGAGTCCTGCGCCTCATGCATGTCATTTTAAGGATCCGCAAGGAGGTGGGTGAGTGGCTGGAACTGGGGGTTGTCTCTCTGTCCAGACGGCATTAAAGAGAGAAGTGAGATCACCAGGGAGTAGCTCTTTACTCCCTCCCTCCCTATTGACTCGTCAATCCATTCATTTCACAAAGTCATTACACACCCACTGTGTGCTAGGCAGTCGCCAGCCATTGGGAAGTGAGGGGTAAACAGGACAGCTCCCTGCCTTCGAGAGCCACCAGTCCCGCCCGCAGAGCAGTCTGTCTCCCTATTTTATCACGGCTCTCCTAGTAGATAATGCCCCTCACCACTTGCATCCGCCCTGTCATTCTCCAGGCTCGGCTCTGTGCCGTTGCAGACTCCTTCCAAAAGCCCTTTCCCATCTTCAAAGCGTCAAGGATTGTCATGAACAGCTGATCATAAGCCTTCTGTTTTCTAGACCAGCTCCGACGTTAAATGTTGCAATCTGAGAAAGGGGCAGTACTGAATGTCCGACTCAAACAGCTCCATGACCTCAGGATTTGTGTCTTCTGGTTTATTGCTATACACCCCGCGCCTAGAACGTAGCTTCTAGGATGTGATCAATAAGTATTTGTTGAATGGATGAGTGACTTTGTAAGATTTTTATGTATATGCAAAATATTTTAAAGATTTTGTTGTTGTTAGCCCTTGCCTGAGGATATTTTTCCATTGATTTTTAAAAATATATATATTTTATTGATTTCAGAGAGGAAAGGAGAGTGAGAGAGAGAGAAACATCAATGATGAGAGAGAATCATTGATCGGCTGCCTCCTGCATGCCCCCTACTGGGGATGGAGCCCACGACCCAGGCATGTGCCCTGACTGGTAATCGAATATTGACCTCCTGGTTCATAGGTCAACACTCAACCATTGAGCTACACCAGCTGGGCTCCATAGAGAGAGTGGAATGGAGGGGGAGAGACAGAGTGTGAGACCCATCAATTGGTCTCTTGGGGATCGGGGTCTGTGACTGAGGTATGTGCCCTTCACTGGAATTGAACCTGGGACCCTTCAGTCCGAAGGCCGACACTCTATCCACTGAGCTGAACAGCCTAGGGTAGTGATGGCGAACCTATGACACGCGTGTCAGAGGTGACACGCGAACTCATTTTTTTGGTTGATTTTTCTTTGTTAAATGGCATTTAAATATATAAAATAAATATCAAAAATATAAATCTTTGTTTTACTATGGTTGCAAATATCAAAAAATTTCTATATGTGACACGGCACCAGAGTTAAGTTAGAATTTTTCAAAATGCTGACATGCTGAGCTCAAAAGGTTCGCCATCACTGGCCTAGAGCCATATATGTGACATATTTTAAATGGAGAGGTTGGGTGTGCTGTTGAGTAGATGAGTCTGATGTTCAGGGGGAAGGTCATCTTCTGCTTGTTCCTGCTGAAGTGGGAAGCAAGTCACAGTTGCGAACGGACGTGGGGTTACAAGGTCTGAGAGAGAGCAGGCGTGCGATAGCTCTTGGCAATGGGAGAGTCCAATCAGAAATCTGGTAGATTGTCAGGCAGCACTGGGGGCCCTGGGCGTCTGTGACCGTAAACATAAAGATAAGGCGCCCGCACACCCAGTCATCCAGCTGCTTACTGGGTGAGAACATCCCCTTTGCCCTGAAGGGACAGATGAAGCGTGTTCACCACTTGGGAAGTATCCGCCAGGCGGTGGGCTAGGCGGCCACTGTCATCACAGGAATACGGCGGCCATTGTCATCAGAGGAATACGTGCCTTTTTGTTTAAGAAGAAGAAAAAGATGACTCATCGCTAAGTCTGACAGGCCTTTTAAGAATCTTGCTGTGAGATAGCCAACAACCTTCTACGTGAGCGAAGAACTTGCACGGATGCTCAGCTCCCTCAGGTCACGGGACAGCCCCACGGCGGGGAGGTCTGTGTGTGCAAACTGACCGCATCCACGGCGCCTGGCTTCCCGCTGGGGAATGTCGCCGAGGCACCGTCACCATCAGCGTCAGAGCGCAGCGTCCTCTCATTGTTTCAGGCAAAGCAGCCATCCTTCAGTGGGTACTGGACGCAATGTTTCCACAGAATATTGTTTTGTGGGTTTTTTCTGTTTTTTTTTTATTATTTTTTATATATATTTTTATAGATTTCAGAGAGGAAGAGAGAGGGAGAGAGAGATAGAAACATCAATGACGAGACAGAATCATGGGTCAGCTGCCTCCTGCACGCCCCCCTACTGGGGATCAAGCCCACAACCCAGTCATGTGCCCTGACTGGAAATTGAACCCTGACCTCCTGGTTCATGAGTCGACGCTCAACCATTGAGCCACGCCAGCTGGGCCACAAAATATTGTTTTTATGAAAGAAATGATTCGGCGTCCAGAGCAGCTGCCCCTGGGCACTTCCCATGAGTGGCTCCTCCGCTTGCCACACTCCATCGCCGAGACCGAATCCAGGACCACCGTCCACCCCCCACCCCGCCCCGCCCCAGGCAGGGCCCTGTTAGAAGTACCTGTGATTGATCCAACTGTGCAGCGGACCTTCCAGTCACCGACCTCCTCCATTTGTTGCAATACTCGCTGCTTCTACATTTTCAGCATTTTTAGCTCCTTCCAAAGTGTTTGTAACAGTATTTGTCGCCTGTTATCTCAGCCATATTTATCATGGCCCAGCGGTAGAAAACGGATACATTGCCCAGCCGGCGTGGCTCAGTGGTTGAGCCATGACCCATGAACCGGGAGGTCAGGGTTCGATTCCTGGTCCGGGCACATGCCCAGGTTGTGGGCTCCATCCCCAGTAGGGGGCGTGCAGGAGGCAGCCGATCAATGATTCAAAAAAAAAAAGAAAGAAAGAAAAAAAAGAAAACGGATACATATAACACATAGTGATGAGCGCTTTGATGCTGGACAGGTGCACGGGGCGAGGAGTGTTTGTAGGCCATCAGGGGCGGCCGGGAGGGCAGTGGGGCAGAGGGAGGGTCATGGGCCTGGGGGGCGGGGCGCTGGGCAAGGCCCTGCCTGCTGAGGCCTCCTGGCCCCCGAGGCTGATGCTTGGCCAGCACACCCCTGCGGCCCGGATCTGTATCCCTTGTCAGACCCACCTCCTGGCCACCATCGCGGGCCCCTCCAGGAAGGGAGAAGGGATGCTGCGTGGGTCAGCCTTGGCCAGCCAGCCTGGCCACCTGTACTGCCACCTACCCCAGGCCTGCCTGTGGAGGTGACGGCGCCACAGGATTTGGGCTCAGAGAGCTGGGGAGAGCCTGGGGGAGCAGCCGAGCGAGCGGGGGACACACAGGCACTAGCCCGCATTTGGGCCTCGTGAGAGCACGTGGGCAGGAGGAAGACTGGCAGGGGAAGGGCCTGAAGACCCCGGATGCAGCTCCCTCTTTTCACCCTTCTTTCTGGCCTTTGCTTCCATTCAGGGCAGACTCTTGTTTGTTTTTATTTGTTTGTTTTTTAAATGTATTTTTATTGATTTCAGAGAGGAAGGGAGAGGGAGAGAGAGAGAGAGAAATATCAATGATGAGAGAGAATCATGGACCAGCTGCCTCCCGCACGCCCCCTACTGGGGATCGAGCTCGCAACCCGGCAGGTGCCTTGACTGGAATCGAACCTGGGACCCTTCAGTCCACAGGCTGACATTCTAGCCACTGAGCCAAACTAGCGAGGGCAATAAAAGTATATTTTAAAATAAAAAGTTTTGAAAAATATTTGGGACCCGTGAAGTCTGACAGCCAGTTAGAAACACAAGAGGAGATACTGACTGGGACAGAGGAGCCTGGAGTTCAGAGGAGATGCCGGGCTGGCGGCTGGCAGTGTGAATGAGTGAGTCCTCGTGTGAAGATGGAATTTAAAGCCGGGACCAGTGAGGACGCCTGGGGGTGAGAGCAGAGACCTCACAGCAGGTGAGAGAAGAGAGCCGGGGCGGAGGGGTGGGCACTGTGACATTAAAGTCAGAGCAGGGTGGCCGGGCAGGGGCAGGCAGTGGGCAGGAGGGCCAGCGGGTAGGGACAGGGCCTGTGAGGGCGTCTCATGGAGGAAGACGCTGCGGGTGCTGGTAAGAGCTGGTGAGCTGAGCAGAGGCCTCAGCAGGATGCAGGCGTGGACAGGATGCTTTGGGGAAGCGGGCAGGATGGCGCTTCCCTGAGGGTCCAGGAGCGCAGAGGAGGAGGAGTGGGAGACAGGCAATGCCTGCG